TCATAAAATTGATAATTACTAAAAATCTCACAAATCTTCCAAGCTTCGAAAACAAGAAATTAAAAGGATTTTTATTTCAGAAATAAAGTATGAAAAGTTAAAAACAACACAGGTTGTATACCATAAATTATAATTTAATATTTGTAATAAAAATTAATTTTGTTAATAACATAAATTGTTTTAACTAATTGCTAAACTTGTGAAAGATTATTTATTCGATATTACCGGTAGAAATCTATACGATCGCAGATTATTATTGTATCTTCGAGATTTTATATCGAAGAATATTTTTACATTTTTCTTAAGGTTGTTCTTTAGTAAAGTACCGAAAATTTGGGGTGTCTCTCATTAGGGCCCACCTAAAATTACAAATATCTGTATAATTTGGGTAAAATATTGCAACTACGTGTATGTCTTAATGAAGTAGTGGAACATCCCTAGTGAAAATTTTTCTTATAATTTTTATATGAATTGGAACATTTTTCAGAAATACTCAGAAATATTCGGAAAGTTTACATCTTCTCTCAGAATTTTTTATACAAGTGAAAATTCTGAAATATTCTCTTCTCATAATAAAAGCTCTCATCTCATAATTTTTAAAAAATATTGAAAAATTTTTTAGATTTTATAACATTTCATTAGAAATTACATTTATAAAAAATCTTATAAATTTTACGATATTTCATAATTAATATATTAAACTTTGAGAAAAGATGTAGAATTTCTGAGAAGTGTTCCAATTCGTATAAAAAATGTGAGAAAGTTACGAAATTATGTATATAGAAATTACAATATATAGAAATTCTGAAAAATTATATAGAAATTCTGAAAAGTTATATGAAAAATTCTGAGAAAAATTTTCACCAGGGACACGACAGTAAATCAAGAGCTGCATCTTCATTGAATAAAAACAGGATGTGATCATGTTTTGTTACGTCCAGATTCCAGAATTCTTTATTTCATGGAGAATGAGAATTAAGAGGGAGGCAAGAAAGGATGTACTTGACACTGTTATCTTATGACTTATCGCTTTATGGATACGTGTCACAAGTCGGAAGCACAAGTCTAGAGCGAATCATCGATGCGGGTAAACGCAAATACTAAGCGCTATTACGCCGACCGAGACAGTGAAACCATAGTCCTTTATTTCGGTCAAGGAACTTAATCCTTTTGACTAGAAATCGGACCCGTACAATGCCGGTTACGTTTGAGCATCTATATTTAAAAGTTCCCTCTTTTTTTATTTGAGGGTTGTGGTATCGAGGTGGATATGGATTTAGGTTCTTACAGGGGAAAATGTTGAATTTGTTTGGAAACGGGGAGATGTGAGTCACTCGAAGTGTTTTACTGCTTCGAGTAATTACGGAAGTAGAAAAAGATGCGAATCACTTGAAGCGTTCTATAGAAGATATCGAGTAATCACAGGAAAAGAACAAGGTGCGAACTACTCAAAGCGTTCTACCGCTTCGAGTAGTCATAAGGAAAGAAAGTATAGATTATAGTGTTTTGAAGTAGAAAGTTAAAAGTCGAGGAAGAAAAAAAAAGAAAAAAGGGAATAATTGTCGAGAAGTTGAGGTAAGAGTGAGCAAAATAAAGAGAATTGAAAATTATAATAGATGGTCGTCGTTAATAGAAAAATTCTAATTACTTACTGTTTCTACGTTTGTAGAAACAACGTCTTTACAAGAGGCGAGGTCAGCATTTTATCTTTGCTGATAATTTACCTTTTTAGAAATTTGGATTTCGATATAGGAGTAACTAATGGAATTTATTTTGGAATGTAGAAAGATTTCTCAAAAATAGGAATGATTAAAGTTGTTTGTTTGTGTGTAACTGAAAAGATAATTAGTTTTATTTATAAGTCATAGAGCCACTAGGCGCGCAAGCCTTCTCGATTGAATATTGATAGTTAATATAATTTTCATATGATGCTTGCAATGTCAACTAATTAATTTGTTTGAAAATCAATATTCGATCGACCGTGTTGTTGACCACCTATTCTAAAGATATCGCAAATTATTTGTAATTGAAGAGAGCAATAGCAAATAGTCTTTCTCCACGAAAGAAAAGAATCGTGGAGCCGTCAGGACGTAACAATTTACTTTTCGAGATTAAATTTATATGCAAGTTTATGCACGTAAATATCTTTCCAGAATGGCCGACAATCTGTTATTTTTTTGTGATCATTAAAATCGTAATTTTTTAAATATTATAATCACGTTTCTGAAAAAAGTCTATGGATTTGTGTGTAGTTAATCAAAGAAATGTATAGTCTTATCTCCGCGAGCCTTATCTATCACTAAGTTCTACGTAAAAAGTTACATTTTCAACATTTTTTTCCTTAATTGTTTCATCGTTAATCTACCGTAGAATTTTGTACGTCAATATCGAAACTTCAACTTCATAAAAAAATTAGACATTTTTATAGTAACTTGATATTTACTAAAGAACAAGCTCAAATACTTTTTTACTTTTTATCCTTTTTTTTTCTTTAAAAATATGATAATTGATAGTAATCAAGAACTATTACGTTGGCCGAAGACTGAATAATTCTCAACTAAACTACTTGATAATTGATCTGATTATGGAATATTATGATAATTATATCTCGCGCGCTTATTTTATAAGTTTCTTACCTTGTTTTGCATAGATTCTAATACGTAATAGCAAATACGTAATACGTAATAGCAAATTTAATTGCACTATAGTCCAGTTCCACAACTCACTCTTAACTTTAACTCTTAACTGAGGTTCAACTTTTTCATTTTCTCTTTCCAATTCTAGAATTGGAAAGAAATGAAAAACAAATTAAATCTCGGTTAGAGTTAACCGTGAAACTTGTGGAATTATGAATGCGTCAATTGAATTTGCTATAAATAATAATCTTCGTTTCTAGTTGTTATGTTGTTCAGTGTAGTTTATAGTATTGTATAATGCAAAACATCGAAGCATTAATCGAAACCCATTCTATATAAAATCCTGGGACACGTACACGTCTGGAAGAACGTCTGAATTATGCATACAAAGGCATTTTCATAAACTTAATTAGACTGTCAAAAAGTATTAAAAATGATTGAACCACGTAAGACGGATAATTTGATTTAGCAAGACAGTCAATCTTTTATAAATTGTCTCAGCAAAAGAAAATGTCTACATTTTACCAGAAAAATATTATAGAATATATATATTATACAAATATATTATGTAATGCATATAACGCAATGTTACACGATGTGACAAAATTGTAGGCAAAATTAATTTAAATGGAGTTTTGGTCAGATGCGAAAATTATTTATACTTTAGAGAAATGAAACACAAGAGTTCGCAAAACTGTAGCAGTTGAAATATTCTTCAAAGAAATCATTTTTTTTAAATGGAAAGATTGAAAAAAATCGATAAAAAGACTGTGCATTGTTATATAATAAATAGCAATGGAAAATATGCATATAATCATATAATCATCAGTAGAAATATGCATTTGTTTTTTGTTTTATTATTTTTATTCATATTTATCGACATATGTAACTGTGACCTGATATGTTACATGAAATTTGCATACGACACGTAGGAGAAAAAAAAACATATATTTATTGCATCTGGAACTCGAATATATCAATCAATACGAATTGTATAAAATATTCTTATGGAGAAAAAAGAAGAAAAAAACATGTCATTTTATCTATGCCTTAGACTAGTATCGGCCGCTAATTGAATTTATCTAAACAGTGAACAAGAATAGCTTCAAGAATAAATTAAGATAAAATGAAAGAAATATATGCCAATAAGTGCCAGCGTGAACGTCATTGCGTGATAATAATTTATTAAGTTACAGAATAAGTAACTGCGTTTCACATATTTTTCGATACACATCTTTACCGTTTATTACGTTTTTCTTTACTTCTGTCTTCTACTATTTTATTTTATATCATAATATTATATATATTTTACATTATATTTTATGTTATTTTACATGCGGTATTACTATAAATCTGTCTTCTGACTGTACTTTTGACTAAGTTCTACATAACATTAATGTTTATCTTTACTTACTTTGGAACGTATACTTTACTTACTTCTTTTTACACAACTTTCTTTTTCGACATATTTATTTTTTGACTTTTAATTTGATATAGACGTATATTTGTTTAATCTGTGTTTTTTTTGTTCCGCATTTCGATACACTTTACTAGTTTTATTGTGATTTTATCTGAGATGGTTGCTTTTGTCTACAAATCGATTGCCTACAGTATCGTTTGCCTACATTACTTTTGCCGACAATTCGTTTACACACAAAAATTATTGCCTACATGCATTTTTGCACACAAATAAAAATTTTAGAAACGTCGATAAAAGTGATGTAGGCAAACAATACTGTAGGCAATCAATTTGTAGGCAAATGGAATCCCCCCGTTTTATCTTACTAATGTTTTTACTATTTAAATAATGTTATACAATATGCACTGAAGAGAATAAAATTGTGAACGTGTTTTATGTATGTACTGCGAATAATAGACTATATATATATATAAATATTATAATGTTTATATTATAATATTATAATATTAAGACAAATATTATAATATTGTGCACACCAATATCTGCATTAATTCTTATATTGTCTTATCTTCCCTTTGATTTATTTAAATTTATCTATTAATAAATCCATTAAATTAACTTTTTATCCATTGATTTCGTCGAAAATGATTTTATATTAGAATGAAATGCAGATCTTGTACCCTGTAATTCTGAAAAAATTCTCAGAACTTTATGAGAAAAAAAACAATTTTTATCTCTTGCTGTTTTTCTATAAAATTGATAGATTTAAAGAAAAAATTATTAAAAACCAATGTCTGCTCTATACCTGCCTAAACTAAACTGAGTCGAAAAGTTTTCTACCATTTTACAATTTTTGTAATAGTTAACAAGATATTTTTACTAAATATCGCTAAATATTGGTTTCCAATAATTTTATATGTGTATATATATAGGAGCATATATACCGTTGCTATCTCCTTTTCGTAATATTCTCGGACGTACGATGCATGACTCTAGGCATGTTTTTCTTGAACTTTCAGGCTCGGCGTCCAAAAAATCAGGATTCATCCGATGCAACATTTTAAGACTGTTGAGGAATGTCCAAACACGATTTATAGTCTGTAATAGTAGTAACGTCTCTGTGTCCACGGAGTGGGATCCATCCACAGTACGACAACAACTATATACGTTTTAAATACGTTTATATGTAGAATTAAATAAGAATTATTAACTCATACGCATTTATAAATATTAATGTTCTGGCTTCTGGTTAAAGTGCGAATAATGGAAAAACTACGTGCTGCATAGATACATAAAAATGATATAAGCAATTTGTATTGCAAAGCTTAAATTTATGAAATCATCCGACAAGAATATAAAAATAGAGTAACTGTCTCTATTAATGTGCCTTTTTTACTCAATTTGCTTATTACTGAATGAATTATTAAATATTATAGTTTTAATTTTATCTGGTTACAACATAGGTTTTTCAACTACTTCTTTTTCTTATAATATTTCTTTAATCTAAAAAATGTTAATACTTTATAATGTTTTTGACAACAATAGAAAACAATAGAAATGTTTTTGTCCCTATTATTAAATTCTTTAAGTGACGATGGCTCTATTAATGTACCCTCCAATGTGTGTGCCTATCCACATTTAACTCATTTTAACATATAATTACTGAAACAGATAATAAATTTAAGCTAATTGTTTATGTTAATAATACATAAATCATTATTTCAATTATATTTATTTCAAAGTACATTCATAACACAACGTTCTCAGCTCCAATACAGGGCACATTAATAGGGACAAGCTTAAAATCTTGCGGTATTACTGGATTCACATAAATTTCTCATATCTTTCGAAAAATATTTAAAATAATACTAATTTTAATACTTAAAAAAATAAAAATATTCGATATCGTGTGTGTATGCATTAATAATTTAACTTAACGAAAAAAAATATATTTTCTTATTTATTTGTGTTAGTTTTTTTTATGATTTATCGAAATACAAAAGTACACTAATAGAGGCAGGCACAGTAATTGTTACCCTAGTTATAACTCATCAAATGCAACCTTTGCCATAATCATTATCATCATTGATTTATCAAATGATAATATTAAGATACAAATTAAATTAATAAAATATGTAAAATTTATATTATTATAATGCTCAAATAGTATGATACTTTATATTTTTATTATTAAAAATAATGAAATTTTTATTATTATTGAAAATAGAATTATTTAAAAAAATGCATTATGTTATGACCTATGTTGCACTATTATATTATATTTCTACACTATACAATATTTTTTTCTGTCTCACATAGATTTTACCCGTCTTTAGAATTTCTTTAGAAGAGAATTTTTTTTAATTTATCCTGAAAATATGGTAGTTATTGTACAATACAATATTTTAAAGATTTTTAATGCACTTCAGTAAAATTGATCAAATTTATTTTATACTATATTGTAGTTTTATTAATGAATAAGAAAAATTTACATTAAAAAATTCTTTGAAATACAATGTTGTCCCACGATTATCATATTTACAGGGTAAATTCTAAGAAAAAAATTTTCTCCGTGTATACATATATATATATTAAAAGACACAGTGGTGGCTCGCGCCAAATGAGCGCGCAGCGCGAGATCGCCTTATGGTTTTTATGTAAGTTATTTATATTTTGTTAGAAAATCATTTTAAGCCTCTACTTTTTTTACTGATATTTTACGGAGATATATAGATTTAAATAAAAATCCGTGAAATCTAAACATTTTTTACAAAAACTTTGCAAAATCCTTTTTTATTTGACGTGAATTAAAAACCACATATAAAATGCAGATTATAGTTTTAGAAAGAATGTATCTTTATCTTTTATTCGTGTTGTACTTGTTAATTATTATATATTTTTTTTCACCAAGTTATTAAATATTGAAGCAAAAAACGTCTTTTATATATGCACTACATAAAAGAATTGTTTATTATATGTATATACTGTACACATACACACGCGCGCG